CTATTTTCACCAATTACAGTACCCAATATGGGGCCCTCGTGCAATGAGTAAGGGCATGTGAACGTGGGACCCCAAAAGTAACGTCGAGGTCAGGTTGAGGTGTTGCTTTTTTAGCGTGTTCACAATTGCATGAGTGTGGTATACAGATGGGAAATTATATATAAGGACACGCACATTAGGGCCGGTTTGTTTGACAATTTTTTGGGTTAACAATGTAGATGTTAGGTGCTACAGTATTGCACCCAACTCTTCTCTTTAGTTTTCTCAAATAACTGTGATTATTGTAGCCGAATTGGTGTTATTGTAGCTGAGTTCGTAACCTTTTAGCATTTCTTAGCAAAAAACAGTGAAATGAGCTTGTGTTACTGTAGCTATCAGATGTAACTGGATCATTCACTTCTCTGTCATTGTAGCTACTGCACGTTTTTACATAAAGCAACCAAACATGCTCTTATTTTGGAAGCTAAAATTGGCTTGGAGTCAGATTCTAGCTGTCCATGTATCGTGACTTACTCATTGTAAATTGTATTATGTACTGGAGTTTATGTACTTGTATAGTAAGAGCCCATTTGGTTGTTGGTAAAGTTGTGTATTTATGACACAACTTTGAAAGTTGATGTTCACCTCATCATTTTCACTTTTACACTTTTTTGTGTTTGTTCTTGATTCTATTGGAATCATAAAGTGCTTGTTTGGTTTGCATATGTAATTTTAAAAAGTGGTTATTATGTTGTCCCTATTCAAATGATTATACTACCATAGGTAAGGTTACCACTCTAAAAAGATTAAAAAAAGAGCAATAAATTGTTATGAGCAATATATATATTCTATTAAGAAGTTCTTTAATCCAATAAATTAATAAATTATTGATTTTTAAAAACTATCATGGTGAACAAAATTTCATGAATCATTACATAGCTAGTATGAAATTTAATGATTTCACCTCAGATAGTGCAACCGTAATGTTCATTACAATCACTATATTTTCACTATTACTAGATAAAAATAAACATAATATGATGAATATATAATGAATATCATTGTACCGTAAAAGATAGATAAACATATGCATCTTGCAGTAAACCTTAGTTAATTCTCAAACACAACATCACAACTAACAAGGATGTCACTAACACTTGACATCAAAGTTTTAGTCCAAAAAGACATCTAACATAGTGCTACATGCCTCAAACTACATAGGCACCTAAAGTTCTCACGATAAAATACTAAAACATTACAACTAAAATAAAGTTAAGTCATCAAACCCACAACAAAAGCAAGTAAAATAAACCAAAGCCTAGTTAAAGTCTAAAATCACCCAAACATTCAACAAAATGTACTATCTTCCATCCATAATAACTCATCCCTAATTTGAATCCTCATCAATATCATCCCCAACGTTTCTAGTGCCGTCCAAGCCATACTTCAAGATATGGCCTTTCATCCAAGCTACTTGAGATTCCAATGGCTTCACCGTGAATAGCCTAGCTTGCTTCTCATTGTCATATAGATGATCGAGTGCATGATCCAATACATGTTGTAGGAATTCACGAAGGAAATATACGCACTTGGCCAATTTTACACTATAGTGGTGGTTGCCCTCTTTAATTGCGCATGCACTTTCTCCTACTTTCTTAAGAAAACTTGTCATCTCCTGGGAATCCTCATTTTGTACAAGGTGAAGTTTGTTTGCACGTGATGATTTGTCTGTCCTATCTTTAGTTTTGCATTTTTTGCCTTGTATAAGCTTCTTCCTCCATGGATGATCCAAGTTGAATAGGAGAGTTAGCATTCTCGACCGGTAAATCAAGATCAATTGTTTCATTAGCTACTCCTTTAAAATTATCGTGCGCATTCTTTTTGAACTCTCTAGTTATGAAATCATCTCCGATAATTTGCTTCAAATCATCGTAGTGTTCAAAGGCTTGTTCACGTAATCCTTGAGTCTTGGATTTTTCTACAAAACAATAGAACATATAAGCTGATAATGAAAAAAGTTACCCACAATAGGACATATAAGCCATATCTGCTGATGTATACAACATCAGATACATAGATACATGTCTGCTGATGTATACATCATCAGATACAGCTGACGTGTATCTGCTGTTGTATACAATAGTAGATACAATGTGTATCTGTTAAAACTGGTCATGCAGGTGTATCTTTTTATCATTTTTATATATTTTAAAATTAAATCTAAATATAGAAGATTAAGAAATTATTACCCTTGCCCATGTGCTATAAACACTTGGATCAAGTGTTATTATTTTTGTTTCTTCATCCCAGCCGACGCCACTAATTTCATGACATTTGTGCATGTCTAGGTAACGATTCCGAAGAATTTTGTAGTGGTTGCCCACATTATATTTGGTAAATGATTTATTGAATTTTTTAGTACATGCTTTAGCCGCATTATTGAATGTGCTAGTCCGCATAATTTTATCACACTTTCCACCATTCCTAGCTTCATTAGCCAAGAAAGGAATGGGGAAATCATCAAGCTCGTCATCCCACATGATGTTTCTAGTTTCTTCTATTTCACTTTTTGATTAAGCCTTTTTGAAGGTGATGAAACTTCATCATCTTGTTCACGAGCCACCTTCTTAGACCCACCACTAGCTTCGAATGAGGGAATTTCAAACGATAATGATCTTGGTGTTCCACTCATAGATGAACTTTGTGTTCTCCTTTGTGGCATTGGTGTACCGTTTAAAAATTGCATCCATGGTCCAGGAGCATAAGGAGGAGGAATCATGCTTGACATAGGAGTTTGGAAATAAATGTATCCAGAAGTGAGAGTTTGGAAAGAAGCAAATCCAAACAAAATTTGGGGCATTCTTTCTGTAGGGCTATTGTCATAGAGTGCAGCATTTGAATTTCTTGTTAGATTATGTGGCCCACGTATTAACTATTTTATTAGCTCACTTTAATCACGTTTTAAACTAACTTTTAGTAGATACGTCGTCTAAAATTATGTCTTAGTGGTAACAGTTTTTAAACCACATTTTGCTTAGTTAAAGGATTATTATGGTTTAATAATATTAAGTGCTAAATTCCTATTGATCAGTTTAGTTGGAGATAAGATTGTCAAATAACTGCACACGTTGATGGAACGTGTGATAATTGTTCTATTTAAGGCTTGGTGCTCTCTCTACCCGTAATGTGAAGAATTTTCTCTCTATTAATAAAATTTGGAAAAATCAAGAGGACTGAAGAGAGAGAAAACTCAAGTCTTCAACGTTGTTTTTCCTGCAATCATGGATCAATGTACGCTCTTTCAATTAACATGTGAAAATCATACTATTCTAAGATCTTGGTATTATGATGATCAAATCAAAATTTAAAGTTTAGTTTGATTTACGTAAATAAAGAATTAGGTCTACATGTGGTATCAGAGCACGGTTGATTAAAGAACTTATGATTTTCTCGTTTTCTATTGTTCCATTACTGATTATTTAAATGTTTACGCTGATTATTGAATACTATTTTGTTTTGATATTTCGTATTCAATTGAATACATAAACCATTACTACAGTTGATGAATATGAGTAATATGAATATGAATGTAATCACTATAAAATTCGGAACTACTTGTTCGTTCATTATATATACATATTTTGATTAAAGTAAATACTTTAGAAGACATAGCCTAGTGGTAAGGTTTGAGAGTTTGGTCAAGAGGTCAGGGGTTCAAACACCTAGGGCAACACTACATTTAAAGTCTTTGACTGGGCCTTAGGCCTCTTGGGCTCTGGCTCTTTGATTTCTAATGATGTTTTTATGTTTATTTTTTTTTAATTTTTTAGCTGCCTGTTGTTACTGCCTGTTTTCTTATTATGACATAGTTATAAAGATTCTATT